TACTACTACTACTACTACTACTACTACTACTACTAGTTACTACTACTCCTACTGCTCCTACTACTGGTTTTCTTCCCTCGATCCTTCGTTCCTGCAACCAGCCAACTACCTCGACACATCCAAAGGCCCAACTCAGAAGCTTCGACCCCCAAAGATCCCCCCGGCTCTCAGTGAATACCCAATGACCGTGGTGTAGTGAGTAAAGTGAAGAAAACAAAGAGAACCCCCAACATCTCAAGGCGAAGATTGAGCCGGACTTGCTGCATATTATTGCATATTATGCCTTATGCCCACCTGCCGCAGTAAACAGGAGGCAAGGGTGTTGACCCACCTGCCTCAAGCAAATCTGGGTCACCTATTCTCTGCCCCGTGTCTGGCGATTCCGGGTGATACTAGAAACATATCATCCCACCATGCGACTGCCGGGCTTTGTTGGAAGCACAACCCTGGGTGACTTCATCGCCACTCGCACCACTTGTTCACCGAACACATCGCATGCCGCAGTTCTCCAGTCTTTGGGTTCGCAAGATCTATTATAGATCTCTTGCAAACGACATGGCTCCATCACACCACCCAGCGGTTATGCCATCCCATCGCGCTCAAACGTCGTCGGAGGACAAAGAAGTGAAGATCACGTCATCGGTGGGAACGAGATCCGACTGGTTGAACGGAAATGGACAGTTCCTGGCTTAAGATTCAGTGAGCCACCTGTGAACTGCAGCTTGACCAGTTTGGCAACTGTTAGGCTGAGTTCCCACCTCAAAAACAACATCTGGAACTGAAGAAGCAACAAGTAATTGTGTTCTTTACTGCCAAGAAACCAAATCTACCAAAACCCCGGGTTTTCCATGAAGGACTGTTTCAAGAAAGAATTCCATCGTCTTGTTCGTCCAAAACAAGCCATTCCTATAGCTATAAAGGTTCTGCCATTCGTCCGAAACCACACCATGCATGGCGCCCTGTTCTTCACCTCTCAGCCCCGCTCGCCACGCGGAGGGAGGTCGGCCCGCTCGGGTCTCCGGAAACGGGTGCGGTCGGCCGGAGACCGTCGGGGGGTCACGTGAAGGGAGTTTTTGCCCAGCTGACAGCCTGATGTGGCGAGAACGAACAACATGTCACAGAGTCACATTTTCACATCTACATCTCACTGCGTTCATCCCTCACATCTTTACATCTGCTCACTTCTGTTCCCCAACCAATCTACGACATGCGAGGGTTCTCAATGTGTTTCCGCGTCCGCCTAGACAAGGCCTGCTTCCCTGGCCCAGTCATCATCGACTGTTGTTCTGTAGCAGCTTTTCCGGAGACAGCTCTTAAATCCCCTCAGACCTTTCATCTACCATAGCAGCACGGCAGCAGGGACAAGGCACCAATTTGACTTGAATCATCAAAAAATTGGGGTGTTATTGGTGTAAGTGGTTGTTGGGCGACTCGACTTTCTTGAGGCACGTTGGCACATTCAATTCAATTTCCACTAACATACACTAACCATCGCTATACGCGAACCATCCGCTCTCCAACAAACACGCAGCTTTGTACTTCGGAAACTCTCCTTGAGGCGTAGGACGGAGGGTTGGATCCCTCGGCGATCGAAGCCGCTGGCGGCATCGGTGTTGAACCCGTCTGCAGCCCGACTCTCTGACGTTCACAGTTTACAATGTGATATGTGTTTAATATCCAGAGTCTACATTAGGTAAAATGTGAATTTCTAAATCGGATGTCAGTCGGCACTTGTCCCTGCCATGACGGTCTTATCCAACTTGATTCTGCCACATCCTTCGATTGATGTTTTCTTCGGTACCGCGATGCCGTTCTATCCCGCACTTGAGTTTCCATTCAAAAGAATGTGCGGTTGCATCGCGCAGCCGTGCAAAGCTCTGTCGGGCATCTCAACATCCCTTTGGCACAACTCAGCGACATGACCATGGTCACAGCAAGCGCGTGTAATTGATTGGGTAGATATGGATCACGGGATGTACGGCAATGAGTAGTACGGTAAATACTGACAATTGAAACGTATATATATATATATAAATAGAACATGATGGAAACAACCGGAAAAGACCGAGAAGTGGAAGTGTTCGATGACGTTAGTTCGAGGTGCGGCTTTGGCCCAAATGCCTGCGCGGTGTCAGGATCGATCTCAACCAAAATAGAACAAAAACTGATAATTTGCTGGATATCTTACCAGCGAGTAATCAATATAGATCAAGACTCAAGGCGCTTCAATTTGCTGGTTTTGCCGACTGTTGATTCATGCGAGTTTCGTGAATGTTATGTAATTATTCCGATGAGAACCCTTCTGTGGTGGTGGTGGTGGTGGTAGTAGTAGCAGTAGTAGCAGTAGTAGTAGTAGTAGGAGCAGCAGCAGTAGTAGTAGTAGTAGTCGTAGTCGTCGTCGTAGTCACTGCCGTAGTCGTAGTCGTGTTCGTAGTTGTCGGAAGTAGTACTTCGCCGATGGCAAGAGTGTAAATCCGATCCGGATTCCTGGACTTGGCCTCTGCACAGGCTGCTGGTGTGCCCAGAAGGCATCTTATAAAGAACTTCCAAAAAAACGGCAGGATCCTGGCGCTTGTATGGCCAGGCCAGTGTCACTTAGACTCGTGCAGGAGTGCCCGGTCAGGCGTTTCGATCCTGCCTGGACCTCGATCCAACCACCGGATTTCCGGGATCTGGAGCATCATAAGCGCATTTGATCCAAGTTTGTGAGGGATCTTGTTCAATATAATAGGTGATTGAATCCATTCCGTGCCGCCCAAAGTGTTTTCTCGCAGTCCCCCTACTCTTAGTACATGGACATGAAAGCCCACTCTTACTCTGCAGAAAACCCACCAACTCGCTGGCCCAGTACTCAAGCCTCACCGGCTCCCCCAACCCGACTCCCCAAGACCCGTGGCCCCCTTAGGACGGTCCACGCATCCCACGCGGACGACGACCGTCAGTGCAGCAGAACAGGTTTCGGAATGGACCCAACGGGTTTTTATGCCATGGCTTTTCTAGCTACCCGCTACCCCTCAGGTCATAAATCAAACAAGGAGTGAGGAGCATTCTTGTACCATCCAGATGTTCGGAAAGCCCTCGATGTTTCAGCGGTTTGGTGATTGGTGCCATCCACAAATGCTCAATCGGGTCTGTAGAGTTCACTTAAAAACAAACAAGTCCCTTGAGAAGTCCCTTGAGACCGGAATTACATGGATCGAGATGAAAAGGCTCCCAGTGTCCGTGTTCCACGCCTTCTGAGCTCCTTCGACGAACACGAAGCACGGGTTTCAAAAGAAGCGGCGTGTCAAAGACAGCGCGTGTGGGTGCCCATCTGGTCCCAAAGAGAGAAGCTAGAAACGGGTTTCCCAAACAGATAGTGGCACGGTCTCCAATCTATTTTTGTGGGGATCGACCTTTCTATCTATTTGGGAGTCTAAAAAAACTGCTATGTAGAGAGTGTTCTCTCTTCTAAAGAAGTACACCAGAGAAAAAATAGAAAATAGAAAACAGATTCCCAGTTCAGTCGACCTGTTAGTAGTAACACCTCCAAAAGAAGTAAAAATAAAGAAAAGTCTAGGAGTCTAGGACTTCAATCCAAATCCATCAACAACAAAAAACTTTAGACTCTGCCGCGAACGTAGACCAGTGGGAGAAAGGCCATCTGACATTTCAACTCATTTTGCCGCACCTTCATTAACCTCATCTGCCTTCGTTAACAGACATGATAGACATGGCCGATGGCATGGCCGCGAAAGGATGACCATGAAATCCAAGCACCAAATCCACGTAATCATGATGATTCCAGGGAGTCTATCTTCATGCTGGCACTGTTCCATCCAACATCGAAGCACTGTCGATCTGGCGATGACTGGCGAGACAGAGATCCCGGACGTTCATGAATCCTCTTTCCAAACCCCTCTGATTTGGGTCCAATCGACCGTCGACGCGACCCCGCGCGTCAGAGTCGGGAGTGAGGAGGAGAAGGTCGACCGTACCGGGTCACATCAAAAAGGGTGTTGTCGTTTCTGTC